AAACATGCTGCATGTTATGCCACTCGTTAAAAATCTCACGTTTGATATTAATTAATTATCTCGTTGGCTGACTATTATCATGGACGTATTACATGAGAAACGATGTCATGCATAGCCGGTGATACAAAAAACGTTCTCAAAAACGTAAATACATTTTGTCATATTATATGTGATACTGATATACATTACTGATTATGTAAGCGACACTAATTTAATGCTTTTAGAATAAAATTATAATACTTTGTTATTACGTTATAATTAATAATTGCTCATTATTATCAGACATTATTACTTAACTTTCTTATTCAAATCGGTCGATTGTAAAACTCTGTTAAAATCGCATCTTAATCGATTTGCCGATCAGCATCGCAGCAGATGCAGCTAAAGAAAATTGCATAAAAATGATCGACGTTAATTTACGTTTTCTTACAAATATCTCTAAAAAATTAGACTTAAAAATTGGAAATGCAATTTATTAGGTTTGAAAATGTTTAATTTGCCCGTATAATGCGACAATTTAACTGAATAAAGTTCTAATAAACGCAGTAAAATTTGTTTTTTTTATGTGCAGAACTTTCATTCTTTTAGGAGAAAAAGTTGAAGATCAAATTAATTAAATGAGCACTGAGGCGGATTATTAGCAGCAGATTGGCAAAGAGTGTCGTCAGCGTAAATGGGGATGTACCCGTAAGCGAAACGAGAAGGCGGATGAGCGAGAAAAATCACTAACGACGACTTCATTCGGCTAACAATGCCGCTTAAATGCGACGCGATTTAGACTTCATGCAGTATAAATGTTGCTCTTTAATTTTATTTAATTTTAATTTCTTCAAAGGTTTTAATAAAAAATTATCATAATATAAAATTCACATCCTTAACTGCCAAAATTATCTAAAAAGAAAATAAAAAGAAAAATCGATCCTTTAAAAAAAAACTTCGTAATTCGTGACATAAATAGTTCAACATTTTAATTAAGAGGTTGATTGTATATATGTGAAGATCTATTCAGATAAATGTAAGAATAATTACTTCCATAAAATCTGTACACCACTAAAGTATTTAACGATTGTAGGAACATTTCGTAATATTAAATACGCGTTAAAATATTTATTGAAGCTCATGTTATTAAATGTATTTGTTCCAAGTAATCTAAAATTATCAATAAATAAGAATCGTGTGAAAAATTGGAATACAAAATAGGCTTACTTATTATAAGAATAAACATATTTTGTATGTATATATTACCTAGATGTATCTGATATAATTTGCATGGAGATCCACATTATCTTATTAAATTAAAAAATATGTCACTCATCTATACACAATCGCAACATTGGAATTGCAATTACAATAAAATTACGTTGGAATTGCAGAACCGAAATCTATTTGTGGTGAACATCGCCACACGATAAGGCGTCTACAGGCAGTCCCACGACAATAGTGAGCCGTCGCAAGAGCCACCGCGAGAACGAGCTAGTCGTGCCGCGAAGCGCCGACAGGCGGTACGCGAGACCAGGACTTTCTCGCGTTTAAAATTGCGGGGCATATAGGACCTGGCGCGGTCGATCACCTCAGCCTTGATGTAAGAAAACAAGGCCTCCTCCTCCTCCTATTCTCAGATTTCGTTTGTTGCACTGGTACAATGCAATACTCACGAAAACAAGATTAATTGCAAATCGCGCATACGAATCACTAGAGTAGAAAAAAACGCATGGCACGTCGCACGATATGCCCGACGTTAATTACACGCGACGGGCGCTTCACTATTGTACATCGCGACGGAATCCTCACTGAAACGCGATCATAAAAATAACATGAGAAAATACAAAGCTTTATGATTCACTCAACACACCCGCAAATTCGCGAATTTCGCAAATTAGCAAAACGAATGGCATTTGTCAAACAGCTTTGACAAATTACAATATGTACAATACCGAATTTATGCGTGGTTGACAAATATTAAAAAAATACAATAAACAACTCCCTTCGAAATCGATACGAATCAGCAAAAAATGCAAAGTCTGATATATCCGAATGCATACAAAAATTCGAAGCACGATACAATACGAATTTACATCTATGAATAAATTGCGCGAAATACTTGCTTGTAAAATAGCTAATAAATGTACAGTTGTTGTTAATCGCAAAAGTTAATTAATTGCGCGCATTAATTGTTATTGATTGCTTGTAGATACAGTAATTGTAGAAACAATTACGTGGTGTCTGTGATTCGATATGTGCTCGATGTGAGCCCGTTTCAAGTGAACGCTACGATCGCACGGAGTTAATGTCACTGTTTGCTCGCTAGAGTCTCGAATGACAACGCGTGCAACGATCTGGCAAGTTAAAGTTAAAACAAAGGCTGCTACGCAAGCTATCGGGCTTTCCACGAGACATCGTATTTACGAAATAAATGTATGCCGAATATTCTATTTTATGCATTTTACGTTAATTTTCAGTATATAATTGGCATAAATATAATTTCTATTTGAATGACATAATTTTCACGAAAATTCGTTGCATTAATAAAAAATAATACACCACTCACCAATGTGCAGTGAAGATTATTTTGAAACTTTCAAGCCCTTCTTTTCTTCTCGGATTCACTCGTTGCACTCGTATAACACTCCTGATGTTAGTTGCACGCGACGCAACACTTTACTATCTCACATTACGACGGAATCCCATCGAAACGCGATCGCGAAAAAGGAAAATGCGAGAGGAACGAAATTTTGTTATCTGTTGATATATATGTCCGATGTGCATCCATGCTCGCAATTCGAGAGTGAAAAACAAATTACGTTTAAATCAGCGAAATCAAAGCAAGATATGTACGTACGTTCGAATTTAAGCACGGTTAAAAAAATGTATTATCTCTCGCGCGCAATAAAATATATCTTGTAATTCCCATTCGCTTTGAATAAATCGTGAGAAATATGTATTTGCTTTGAGAGAAGAATAATTATAAAATTTACAGCCACCATCGAATATAATTGATTATATAATTCGATTGACAGTCGAGCTAATTGTTCGTGGGGAATGATTGCTTTGGCTTCTCGTCACTCGACACGCTCGCATTCTACGACATGCGAAGCGACACGCGCCGTTGCCTGTCGACGCGCGGCGCGACGTGCGAACAATATAGTGCGCGATGGCCTTGTGTACAAGGTCGCGCGTTGTTAAAACAATACCAAGGCCAACCGATACACAGGTGCAGTTTCATTACAATCAAAGATTTAAAAAATTGCTTCTATAGTTATTTGGCAAATATTCCATTTTTTGTATTTTTAATTAATATTGATAAGAGATTGTTATTTTATATTTTGCACTTTTTATTTTATAGATATGTTAATATTTAAAATAACTGATCCCGTTTGATTAAAAAAGTGTTTTGAAATTGAAAAATTATTTAAATTAACAAGAGAATTTGCTTCGATCTCGTTATACATAGATATCAATAATAAATTTTAAGTTTTATATAAAAATTATCTTCTTCTTTTAATTTAAATGAATAATATCATTTAATTATTTCATTTATAAAGAATTAATATAAACGTATTATTTAAAAATAAATTAAATTTAATATCGCTGAGATATAATGAGTTTGAAAAAGAATTAATTATTAAATCGCGAAAAACAAATCTTAAATTGCGTCTTAAAACAAACTTTATCTGAATTTTTTATTAAAATGTAATTGCAAATATAAAGTATTATGTGACAAATATCAAATTAATTCTTCTCTAAAATTTATTAAATCGTATCATATCTTAAGATTAATTCCAGCTGAGCTTTTCAGTAGAAATGCGATGGCCTCGTTCCAATATAATAACAAGCGCTTCAAAACTATTTGAGAAGCATTCTATTTCCTTTACCCTTGGTTTTATTTTCTTCTCACTTTTACCGAATATTACCTGGCGAAATTACATTAAATGGGTATCGTGTTTCCGTCATCATATGTACGTGCTCGATTTTGGGGTCGAAAAGTAAATCGAGGGTGCCTGTGCTATTTGTTACTTGCTCCATCGCCCATTTCCGGTGTAATTCGAGATCCCGAGATACCCCTATTGAACCCGCGCAGATGCGCCGTATGCGTGATCGAGACAAATAAAAGTAAAACGGCGATGAAATGGGGGACTACTGACTCAAGAAAATTGTGATTGGGAGAAAAAGTAGATAAAGGTACAAGAAAAAAAGAATCTATATCAATTTTTCTTGCAAAAAATAAAAGGAAATATATATATATAGGTATAGATATGAATTCAAAAATTGTTGTAGAAATATTGATACAATATCCGATAGAACAAAATTAATATTAAGTTCGCAGAAAATTGTAGATTTAATCACGATCATATTTGAATCTCCGTTGCGCCTTTATTGCTAAATCTCTCTGATCGCAATTCGCGATCCTGAGATTAAAAATAATCAGCGTTCTATGATAGAGCAAGATCCCAGAAGTATTTAGTGTTAAGAATTTCGCGTGAGAGGAGAAATGTTGTGAAGAACAGCTGCGAACAATGCTTCTGCAGTTGTTACACGAATCATCAACGTTCGTTTCGAGAGCGCGAGCACGAGCGAGCGCGATTCCATCGTCCTGCATCGTCGTTGTCATTTTTTTATTTCTCGTTGGCGAACATAAGTGTCATCGTACTCAGCCCCCTTTACGATCCTCCACAGGGCTATATTAATTGCTACGGAATCGTTACTGTCGTAAACACGGGTTGATAAATTGTCGCTCAAGCGTTAATCGATAACGTTGATAGCGCGCTAACACGACAAGAAAACGCGATAATGCGAGCGAAATGGAACAATGTAGGAAACGTTTCTTATTGTTGCGGAAATTACTAAAAATTGTTTCTGCATCGCATCTCTCAGCTTGTCGCAATCAGAAACGCATTTTCTCTCCTCGGCCGCGCGAAATTGGCAAACGTCGCGCGAACGTAATTTTCTGCCGCGAAGCACTTCGTCTTTCGCTTCCGCGCGCGTCGTACTGAAACATTTACCTTATCGAGACGAGTATCATGGCGAATATCAGGTACTTTCCAAGCAGCGGCACAACCAGCGATGTTGGCGGGATGATCTCGACGACCAGCAGAAAGAACACGTGCAGACTGATGAGAATCGAGATGGAGAGCGTTACCTGAAATTGCGAGACATTTGTTAAGAGGGTTTCATTATATAAGGAATAATGTGAAATACTAAGAGTTTATTGCTCTATTTGATATGATATCGCGTTTACAGTAAAAGGGAGAAGTTATCAAATATATCTCTAGCCATTTATATCTTCCATGGAATTTCTTTATTATTGTATACAATTTTATGGATTTGTATAGTTTGTTGTAAATCAAATAAATAAATTATTTGTATTTATTTATTATTTATTATTTATTTTCTATCTAATCTGATAATTAATTTTTGGTTTCAATGTTATATTAGAAAAATATTACATTAAAGGAAGTAATTAATCGTCTTACAATTTATCGTGTATTCATCAGAACAGAAATACAAAGAAGATTATTGTGTTATTTTTGTCATATTGCTTTAAGAGAAAAGAAAATATGGAGATCAAAGAAGAGGTAGTCCAAAGACACATGTTGCCTTTCCTTAAAAATATGTCCCCTGACAGGCGACAAATTCAGAGCTATTCGAAGGGGCCCAGGTAAGGGGCCGCGGATAGCCGAGCGGAAAATTCGTATTTATGATGCGCGTAAAGAATGTACGAAGCAAGAGCCAGAAGGATAAACGGGTCGGCCCCGTGAGGTGAAAGTTGTGCTCGCTGACAGAATTTATATGTGTCCGTGATCCATTCGTTTTAATAAAACTTGTAAACGAAAAGCATCAGGCACGTAGAGCCACGTCCGGGGTGCGGTACTACTGTTGCCAAGTATATGATGAAAATAAAAATGAGAAAGTACAAATACACGGAATAAGCACAGAATAAGTAAAATAAAATAAAATGTTTTTACCGACTATCGCATTGCTCAATAAATAATTCATCTGAAGCTAGTGGGATGAAATAAAATAATTAAGAGGATGCTAAAGCCGTCTGTTTTATCGACAAAAATACCATTTTTGTTGGATACAAAACACTTCGTATTAATCGCATAGAATAAAATTTCCTTTTCCACGATTAAAACACACATGCTAATGCATCTGGCTCTGGTGTATTTTGTACCAAAA